AAAAAAAAAAAAAAAAAAATTCGAATTGTTTGACTGGGCTGGAGCCTCCAGAGAACACAACACGTCCTCCGAAGGTGTGTGTGCCATCCGGGGAGGGTGCCAGGACTGGACCATCTCAACAGCATGAGCAAAGGGAGGACCACGTGTCCTCCCCAGAAAGCCTGGGTCCCCTACTCAGGTCTGCAGAAGTAAATGTGCCCACCAGCTTGGCAAATGCACCCCCTGATTCCTCCCCATGGGTTATTTTTCCTCTCTCTTTTCATTCCTAGAGCATTCAAAATCAATGAACTGAAAGCTGAGGTCGCAAATCACTTGGCCGTGCTAGAGAAACGTGTGGAATGTGAGTGAGGTTTTTGTTTCCTTTTTGCTTCTCTGTCCTTTAATCTCTATTCAGATTAAACACTTGAACAGGGAGGAGTTAGGTGCTGAAGGTAAATGCGAACATCTTTTCTCTGTGAAATGCTGGAAAATTACCTTTGATGTTAACAAAGGCTAGCACAGTGACTAAGCATTTTATTTCTATTTTAAAAGAAATGCAGCTCATGGTATAAAGCATTCCTGCAGCCCCAAAGAGTAAAAATGAATGCATGAAACCCCCCTCCTCCCACGCTTAGCCCCTCTGAGAACCTCTGCTGAGTGTCTTGTCTGTCTCTCTCTCTCTTTTTTTTTTTTTTTAGATGAAGTTTCGCTCTTGTTGCCTAGGCTGGAGCACAATAGTGCAATCTCGGCTCACTGCAACCTCCACCTCCTGGGTTCAAGCAATTCTCCTGCCTCGGCTCCCTGAGGAGCTGAGATTACAGGTGCCTGCCACTACCACGCCCAGCGAATATTTGTATATTTAGTAGAGACGGAGTTTCACCATGTTGGCCAGGCTGGTCTTGAACTCCTGACCTAAGGTGATTGACCTGCCTCTGCCTCCCAAAGTGCTGGGATTACAGGCATGAGCCACCATGCCCAGCGGGTTGATGCTTTTAATCAATTTGAAGAAGTTCTCCTCCATTCCTAACTTTAAGAGAGTTTTCTCATGAACATGTGTTGAATTTTGTCAGATTTTTTTTTAAGAATTAGTTGATATGATCATGTGATTTTTCTTCTTTAGCCTGTTGATTGGAGATTTACATTGATTGGTTTCCAAATATTGAACCAACCTTATATCCCTGGAATAAACCGCACTCAATCTTGATGTGCAGTTATTTTTACACGTGACTGAATTCTGCTTGCTATTTTGTTAGCGATTTTTGTATCTATATCCATGAGGGATGTCAGCATGTAGTTTTCTTTTTGTTGTTGTTCCTCGTCTGCATTTGGTATCAGGGTAATACTAACTTCATAAAATGAATGGGGCCCAGGCGCAGTGGCTCACGCCTGTAATCCTAGTGCTTTGGGAGGTCAAGGTGGGCAGATCACTTAAGGCCAGGAGTTCAAGACCAGCCTGGCTAACATGGTGAAATCCCATCTCTACTAAAAATATAAAAATTAGCCAGGCTTGGTGGTGGGCACCTATAATCCCAGCTACTCAGGAGGCTGAGGCAGGAGAATCACTTGAACCCAGGAGGCAGAGGCTGCAGTGAGCCGGGACGGCACCACCGCACTCCTGTTCAGAGTGAGACTCCATCTCAAAAAAAAAAAAGAATAGTAGTGTTCCCTCCTTTTCTGTTTTCTTAAAGGTATGGTTCAGAATCACATTGACTTTTTAAACATTTGGTAGAATTTTCTATTAAATGTTTAGAAGCATCTTGGCATGGACATTTCATTTTGGGAAGTTTTAAAATCAGAAATTGACTTTTGCTAAGAGTTTCAGGCTGTTTTAAATTAGCTGCTTCCTATTGAATGAGTTGCAGTACTTCATGCCTCTCTAGGAATTGGTCCATTTGATTGAAGACGTCAGTTTTCTGTGAGCAGAGGCATCTGTAGTGTTCCCTTATTATCCTTTTGATGGTTGCAGGGTCTGTAGTGATGTTGCCTCTTAATTCCTGATATTGACAATCTGTGTCTTCTCCCTCCTGGTTTCTTTGTCAGCCTTGCTAGAAGTTTGACGATTTGTTATTTTCAAATAATAGCTCTGTTTTGTTGATTTTCTGCATCGTTTTTCTGTTTTCTATTACTGGGATTTCTATTCCCTGTCTTTGTGATTTCCCACCTTCCTTCCTTCCTTCCTTCCTTTGCTATCGTTGTAGGTTTACTTTGCTCTTCTGTTCCTGGGTTCCCATGGTGGGATCTTGGCTTATTGAGTTGAGACTTTTTCTCTCTTCTAATGGAAGCACATAGTGCTGTAAATTTCCCTCTCAGCATTGCTTTAGTTGTGTCTCACAGCTAAAGTTTGTGTGGTATTTTCATTTTCATTGTGTTTTTAATGTCTTTTTAATTTTCCCTTGAGACTTCCTCTTTGACCCTTAAGTTACTTAGAAGTAAGTTGTTAAGTTTCCAAGTGTTTGGAGATTTTTCTACTATATTTCTGTTACTGATTTCTAGTTTCTGTTGCGGTCAGAGAACATACTGTGTATGGCTTCAGTTCTTTTAAATTTGCTGAGGTTTCCTTTATGGCCCAGGATATGGTCTATTGCGGTGTATGCTCTGTAGGCACCTGACATGAATGCAGCATTCTGCTGCTGTTGAGTGACATGGTCTCTAAATATTTATCGTCTGATGGACTTCTAAATATACCTCAAGACTCTGAGATGATTCACGATCAAAGGTTGTATGATACACTACTCTTTCCAAACCCCTGCTGAGTTCACCAACTGGCCTGTGAAACCCTGTGATGATTCTTGTTAATGGGATCTACTTTTCTTTCCTAGTAAGTGAGGGCCTTTCTGAAGGTGAGGGCCTGGAGCCCACACCAGTTCAACCTATGGCTGTATGAAAACTTTCTGGCTGACATTTTTATGCTTGTAGTTTCAAGAGATATAACAAAATGTCATTTTTCTTCTTATAATTACGTCATACAGTGCTAAAGCCAGAGGAAACCTGGGGTCATCTGGTCTACCCTCTCATCTGACAGGTGACATGATGAGGTGTTGCGAAGTTAATTTAAACTTATTCGTTTTTTTAAAAATTTTTAAATGATATGAATGTATCTTAATTATAGAAAATGTATAAGAAAAGGGGGGAATGCATAAGGTATAGGGAAGCAAGAATTTTAAAATAAAAGGTAATAAAACTTAACAACTGAAGGTGACTACTACATTACTTTGGTGGACACTCTCCCAGTGTGTCTTCAGAATCAGGTTCACTCTGATTTACTGTTTTAAAATCTTTTTTTCTTGTACTTTAACAACAGACATGAACATTTTTCAAAATATTATTTCTAATAGCAGAATACCATTCCAGATATACATCTGATGATACAGTTATCTCATCATTTATTTAACGAATCTCCATCGGGTGGGCAGGCAGTTTGTTACCGTTTCCTCTACGTTAAATAACACTGTGATGAACAGCCTCTGTGTACATGTGTGATCATTTCCTGGAAATGGGACCTGGGTCAGTGCTTGTGAACATTTTTTTTTTTTTTTTTTTTGAGATAGAGTCTTGCTTCTGTTGCAGCCTCTGCCTCCCGGGTTCAAGCGATTCTCCTGCCTCGGCCTCCCCAGGAGCTGGGATTACAGGCGCCCGCCACCACGCCCAGCTATTTTTTGTATTTTTAGTAGAGTCAGGGTTTTGCCATGTTGGCCAGGCTGGTCTCGAACTCCTGACCTCAGGTGGTCCACCCGCCTCAGCCTCCCAAAGTACTGGGATTACAGGCGTGAACCACTGCACCCAGCCACTTGTGAACATTTTTAGCTTTTGAGCCCCATTGCCAAGTTAGATTCTTGTTTGGCAGCTTTGGTTTTATTTGTTTTGGTTATAATGGAGGATTAGACATCAAGTCAGCGTAGAAGATTACGCAAACTTGGCCAGGTACAGTGGCTCACGCCTGTAATTCCTGCACTTTGGGAGGCCGAGGTGGGCAGATCACGAGGTCAGGAGATGGAGACCATCCTGGCCAACGTGGTGAAAGCCCAAATCTCCTAAAAATACAAAAACCAGCTGGGTGTGGTGGCGAGCACCTGTGATCCCAGCTACTTGGGAGGCTGAGGCAGGGGAATCGCTTGAACCTGGGAGGCAGAGGTTGCAGTGAGTCAAGATCATACCACTGCATTCCAGCCTGGTGACAGAGCGAGACTCTATCTCAAAAAAAAAAAAAAAAAAATTACTCAAACTTACAACTAAGCCTCGTGGTGTAGGTTCTCGGCGTTCTGGGGCATGAGAACCTAGTAGAGACCTCGCCCTTCCTCAGCATGTCGCCATGCTGAAAGGGACAGCGCTGTGGGCATCTACAGCTTCCTAGGCGGTATCTGGCATTGGGCCTGGTCAGGAAACGGGAAAGCAGACAGGTTCCATTTTGCCTGGGACCTGGACCTTGTAAAACCAGTCACCCAGCCCAGTTTTACGGACCAGGCAACAAAGGGAGAAGAAACTCCTTCGACCCGGGCCAGCTTCCTCTCCGCAGACCCGCCGTGAGAACACCATGTTCTGTGTTGAGACGTGCCTTGAACTCACATTGTCACAGTAATTGCCCCCATAAAATAGACCTGGGCACTAAGAGGAAGCTTCCTGTGTCTAGAAACCCAGTCCTGCCTGCTTTTTATAGCTGGTGCGAGGGCAGGAGAACCACAAGCCCTGCCAGGCTGCTGAGAGGCCACTGAGGCACAGATGGGCTATGGGCCTGGAGCCGCACCGGAGGGAAGGAGCATTTGAAAGAGCCCAGGTCCAGAGAAGCCCGGGGCTGCTGCCAGGAAGGCCGGCGCATGCCTTCAGGTAATAGGCAGCTCCTCCGCCGCGGCCTCTGCGTCCCAACACGTGGGATTCGGGCCGCCATGGCCTACACGTCTTTTCCTCTTGTCCGTGTTCCATCTGTCTTTTTTCTTTGGCTTCTAGAGAAAGAAGAACTGATCCAGAGTGTGCTGGCGCAGGTTGCAGAGCAGTTCTCAAGGTACAGAGTCTTCTGAACTTACAACCAGCCAGAGATGGGCACTGCTTTCTCTAAGAGCGAGGGTGGGCCCCGGGCACAGAGGCTGGCCTTGGCCGCCAGGCACGGCTGTCTCCCCTGCCTGGAGGAGCCTCCCGCACGGCTTCTGTAACTAAACCAGCTTGGATGGGGCCCAGGAAATGCTCACCTTAGACCTAAGATGGTGTGGAGTGGGTACATTAGAATGTGAGCTCATGCGGTCAAGAACGTCCTCCACCGGCTCTTCCGGGGTCGGAGAACCATCTCTAAGACTTGGCTCCGTTGTAAAATAAGCTTTCTCACTGAGCTTCTATGTAGTTAGGGGATTGCCTTTTCATCTGAGTCACTCCACCACATTTTCAAGACTGACTTTTCTGTGGTGTCTTACTGCCTAGGTTAATTAAAATGGTGAAAAGGGCAGATGGGTACAATTTTTAAAAACCTTCAAATTGGCCGGGCATGGTGGCTCACACCTGTAATCCCAGCACTTTGGGAGGCTGAGGCGGGCAGATCACCTGAGGTCGGGAGTTTGAGACAAGCCTGACCAACATGGAGAAACCCCATCTCTACTAAAAATACAATATTAGCCGGGCATGGTGGCACATGCCTGTAATCCCAGCTACTCAGGAGGCTGAGGCAGGAGAATCGCTTGAGCCCGGGAGGCGGAGGTTGCGGTGAGCCAAGATCGCACCATTGCACTCCAGCCTGGGCAACAAGAGTGAAACTCCATCTCAAAAAAAAAAAAAAAAAAATTCGAATTGTTTGACTGGGCTGGAGCCTCCAGAGAACACAACACGTCCTCCGAAGGTGTGTGTGCCATCCGGGGAGGGTGCCAGGACTGGACCATCTCAACAGCATGAGCAAAGGGAGGACCACGTGTCCTCCCCAGAAAGCCTGGGTCCCCTACTCAGGTCTGCAGAAGTAAATGTGCCCACCAGCTTGGCAAATGCACCCCCTGATTCCTCCCCATGGGTTATTTTTCCTCTCTCTTTTCATTCCTAGAGCATTCAAAATCAATGAACTGAAAGCTGAGGTCGCAAATCACTTGGCCGTGCTAGAGAAACGTGTGGAATGTGAGTGAGGTTTTTGTTTCCTTTTTGCTTCTCTGTCCTTTAATCTCTATTCAGATTAAACACTTGAACAGGGAGGAGTTAGGTGCTGAAGGTAAATGCGAACATCTTTTCTCTGTGAAATGCTGGAAAATTACCTTTGATGTTAACAAAGGCTAGCACAGTGACTAAGCATTTTATTTCTATTTTAAAAGAAATGCAGCTCATGGTATAAAGCATTCCTGCAGCCCCAAAGAGTAAAAATGAATGCATGAAACCCCCCTCCTCCCACGCTTAGCCCCTCTGAGAACCTCTGCTGAGTGTCTTGTCTGTCTCTCTCTCTCTTTTTTTTTTTTTTTTTTTTTTTTTGAGACAAGAGTTTCACTCTTGTTGCCCAGGCTGGAGTGCAACGGCGGGATCTCAGCTCACCACAACCTCCTCCTCCCAGGTTCAAGCAATTCTCCTTGCCTCAGCCTCCCGAGTAGCTGGGATTACAGGTGTGTACCACCACACCCGCCTAATTTTGTATTTTTTAGGTAGAGACAGGGTTTCTCCATGTTGGTCAGGCTGGTCTCGAACTCCCGACCTCAGGTGATCTGCCCGCCTCTGCCTCCCAAAGTGCTGAGATTACAGGCGTGAGCCACCGTGCCCAGCCTTGTCTGTGTCTCTTTTTGTGTAAATGAAGACATTCTCTGCACACCGAGCTGCACCCTGTGGGTCACAATTTTGGAATTTTCTATGAAGTTGTTATGTCTGGTTTCTGATACAGTCTGGATGTGCGTCCCCTCCAAATCTCATGTTGAAATGTCATTCGCAGTGTTGGGGGTGGAGCCGGGTGGGAGGGTTTGGGTCAGCAAGGCAGATCCTCCTGAATGGCGCGGTGCTGTCCTCGAGGCAGTGAGTTCTTGCAAGATCTGCTTGTTTAAAAGCACGTGGCACCTCTCTACCCTCCTGCTTCCCCGTCGCCTTCCACCGTGATTGGACGTTCTCGAGGCCCCCCCAGAAGCCAAGCAGATGGCAGCACCAGGCTTCCTGAAAAGCCCACAGATCCGGGAGCCCATTGGACCTCTTTGCTTTATAAATTGCCCGGCCTCAGGTCTCTCTTTATAGCAGCAGAAGAGCAGCCTAACACAGCCTCCCATCACCACAAAAGAAAACCAGAAGAAGGACTAGTGAGCCGCGGAGTATCGATTCAAGTCCTGATTCAATGACCAAAAAGCTCAAATTCTGGGAAGAACACAACTTCAGTCACCCATCCCTTTTGTCGTCATCCATAATATCAAGATCAATGCATGAATTCCACAGGCCTCCCAATTCTGCTTAACTCACAGCTCGACAAGCGAACTCTTTGTTAACAAGGCAAATGTTAATGATTAACAGGGACCATATTTACCAACTTAGGAACTGAATAAATGATCCAGACAGGAGGCCATTAAGGGTTGCAGAGTCACCAAAAAATATCTGCCTGATTGACTGAATGTTGCTCTTTCTGTTTCCCTCCCTCCCTCCCTCCTGCCCTCCCTCCCTTCCTTGCTTCCTGACAGAAGAGTCTTGCTTTGTTGCCCAGGCTGGAGTGCAATAGTGCAATCTTGGCTCACTACAACCTTTGCCTCCTGGATTCAAGTGATTCTCCTGCCTCAGCCTCCCAAGTAGCTGGGATTACGGGCACCTGCCACCACATCCAGCTAATTTTGTATTTTTTAGTACAAATGGGGTTTCACTATATGTTGGTTAGCCTGGTCTCGAACTCCTGACCACAGGTGATCCACCCACCTCAGTCTCCTAAAATGCTGGATTACAGGCATGAGCCACCACACCCAACTAAATGTCGCTTTTCCTATTTTGCTTGTGTTGCTTGTAAATTTTCAAGAAAAGCAATCAGGATCATGCAAAAACGGACTCATCTAAATTAGTAGAAACACGATTTGCATAGTCAGATTTATACTTTTCAAAGTGTGTTGACGGTTTTTAAAAAGCATGTGGTCACTGGATCTTCATCACGGTTTCGTTTTCCCCGTTGTTGACAAGGAAGCCACAGAGAGGTTAAGTAACCTCAAGAACACTCAGCAAATTAGAAAACAAATACAGCTGGGACTGGCACCCAGGGTCCTGGCTGGGCTGCTCTAGCTGCCTGCTACCTGTCCTGCTGGGATCTGTCACCTCCCTGCATAGCTGGCCGAAGAGGACCAGGCACTCCGTGAGGATTCCTTAATAACACAGGTTAGAAGGCAGCAGCTGCAAGCAGCAAAAGCTGATTGTGGCTGCTTTCAGCAGGAAAGGAGTTTTTTCCTAAAGGATTTTGGGAAGCTCCCGGATCCCCAGGAGGGCTTGGAGCTGTGCAGCAACAATTCCCCAAATCCCATGCAGAGCTGACGCTGTGCATATGGCCGTGCTGCCGTCTCTGAATCCCAGATGCACACCAGCTCCCCTGCACTCCTCGCTCTGGACCTAGGCCCCTCCTCGAGGCTCCACAGCCACTTATGCAGGCATCAGGCTGCTCCTCCAGGTCACTGGCTTCAGGTTAAAAATCTAGACAGAGCCAGACCATGCGCCAACGGTCTAGCTACAAGGCAGGCCCGACCAAGGGAGCCTGTGAGTGTGCTGAGGCTGCCGCACAAAGCCCCACAGACCGGGAAACTTAAGCAACAAAAATGGGTTCTCTCGCAGCTCTGCAGGCCAGAAGTCTGAAATCAAGGCGTGAGCAGGCCTGGCTCCTTCTGGAGGCTGTGAGGGGCGCAGGCTCCAAGCCTCTGTCTTACACCCACATGGCTGTCGGCAAGCTTTGCCACTCCTGAGTTCGGAACACTGCATCACTCTAATCTCCGCCTGTGTCATCACGTGATGCCATTCTTCCATGTCTCTGTGTCACCAAGCTGTCTCTGCCAGGTCTTATAAAGATGCGTCTCTTTGAATTTTGAGACCACCTAAATCTAGGGTGGGCCCATCTCAAGATCCCTGAAGGATTATATCTGCGCAGACGTACTTCTAAGTCAGGGCCCATTCATTCACAAGTCCAGGGAGCAGGCTGTGACCAGATCGTTCTGGGGGGACACAATTCAACCCACCGCAGCGAGCATTTGCACTTCCATAGTCTGCACTGGGAAGCTGGCTCAGCTTTCCACCAAGCCCATGTCACAGGGAATTCTCCAAACTTGGGTAGGGTTTCAGCCAAAGCGGGCAAAAAAGGCTTAGTGCGGAGTCGTCACCCACCTTTACAGATGCAGAAAGCTACGCAGTCACCACAGGCCAGCATGCAGATGCCTGAGGGCAGCAGGTGCCTCCCCCGTCTCCTCCTCTCTCCAGCGCCTGGGCTTTTCCTCGGTGTCCCCCCCACATCTCCTGTGCCCCACCCAGAAGCTAGTGCCAGCTCCCGCCACGTGCTCTTCCCGGAAAGTGCAAACAGGCAAGCTGAAGAGCCCATGCCGTAACTCTCAAAACTTAAAGAGAATGATGCCGCCTCCAACATGATGAATACTAACCCTGCGCAGCTCTGAATAACTGACCCTAGAGAATAACCACCAACCCAAAGGAAAACTATTCGTATTTTGCCTCCAAGTGGCAGGTAACTGAAGGCCACGGCCCAGAGGAGCTTCCCCTGTAGCCTGTTCTAGCTGCAAAATTCTCCAAAAGTGCTCACTTCTCAGAGGGAAGGCATCTTCCCATAGGGCCCTCAGTAAATGCACGTAGACGGCCTAGAAGAGGACCCCACTCTTCACCCAGCGCGCTCAGGCTCACCGCACAGACCAGAATTACTGGTGCTTCCACAGGTAAAACCGGGTGTTACTAGTCGTACTGATTTCCAGCACCAGAGGCCCATGCACACAGCTTCTTCTGCTATTCATGAACTGCTGTGAGCTGCTGCAGACATGGGATTGAAGCTCACCTCTCCAAGGAGCAGGGAAGGAGGGACAGTCTAGGGGTTGTGCAGGACAGGGAAGGGCCTGGGCAAGGTTGGGGGGAGCCTCTCCATAGTCCCCCTGGCTGGCCTCCTCCCCTCACGTGCAGCTCACACCCCCACTTCAGGACTGTTCTCCTAACCTCCACCTGGCTTTGGGTTCATCCTCCCGGGCACGTCTGGCTGACAGCCCCCCAGTCTCCAGCAGGTCTGCTTTAGTGGGAGGTGGCCAGGATCCTGCATGTATGCTGAACACAGGGAGTTTGAGCTCCAGAGAGATTTCGAGGGCTGCAGAGCCTTCACCCAAAGATGCACATACCCCGACATTTGAGGAAGCTTGGAGGGCGGAAAGGGAAAGTCCTTTTGAGGAGAGGGCCTGCACCTGAGCCTCTCACGCAGGCCACTGGGGAAGTACATGGCCAGCTTCTCCAAAGGTCAGTCCCAAGCCTGCACGGCTGCCAGAAGCTAGCCAGATGGGGAAGGCGGCCAGGTGCGGGGCCGGGGCCGGAGGCAGATGCTCCCATCTACATATGTACGTGCACGTGTAATCACACACAGAGAAAGGTGCACATGTACTCACATATACACACGTAAAATCACACAGACATGTCGGGATGTCACATACATGTACACATGTGCAAGCACCCAGGCACATGCAGATACATTCATACATATGATCACATACACACACATGCACACAGCTTCTTCTGCTATTCATGAACTGCTGTGAGCTGTTTTTTTGTTTGTTTGTTTGTGTTTTGAGAAGGAGTTTCACTCTTTCACCCAGGCTGGAGTGAAGTGGCGCTATTTTGGCTCACTGCACCCTCCACCCCCGGGTTCAAGCAATTCTCCTGCCTCAGGCTCCTGAGTAGCTGAGATTATAGGCATCCGCCACCATGTCCGGCTAATTTTTATATTTTTAGTAGAGACGGGGTTTCGCCAGGTTGGCCAGGCTGGTCTTGAACTCCTGACCTCAGAAGATCGACCCACCTCAGCCTCCCAAAGTGTTAGGATTACAGGCAGGAGCCACCATGCCTGGCCAAACCGTTTTCTGCTTCTTGAGTTAGAGGACTCATCCACTAGAATTGGCCACCTTAAAGCCATATTACGTGTGGTGGACTTGTCTTGA